TCATTGAGACTCTGAAAGTATGCCAGTAGGTGGTTGTGTCTTTAAATATAAATGATTTTAGAAAAAAAAACAAGTTTAAGTAACTGTAATTAAATATAGTGATAGTAAAATACATAAATTTTAGAATGTATAACTTAATTTGAGTTAAGTATAGGTAATGATTGTGGAAGAAACGCACGAAATGTACCTGTACCAATGGACACGCTTTCTACAAGATGTAATGAAAGATGATTCATTTTTTTTCTCTTTTTTGTGTGTGTAATAAAAATAATAAACAATTGTTATAAATAAAAAAACCAACCCTCTAAAAGGATGCAAAGGACCAGCTGTCTGCAAGGAATATAAATCCTTCCATTCCCCCACTATCCGGTCAGAGCTGAAGAAGATTCTTGGATGAGAAGCGAAATGTCTTCAAAAGAATAAAACAAGAAAGTCCAGTTGCCTCCTGAAAAAAGCACCTTTGGGACAACCATGACCTGGATGACCGAGAATCTCTCTAGATTCTGATCCAGTTTGATCCCTGGTGGCTCTCTATTTGCCTTCATCCTCAGCTTAATATTTCCACTAAAGGATCTCCATCACTTTTCATCTAAGGCAGGCCCTTCTACTGCTGAACAGTTGCTAAAATTCAAAGTTTCTGCTCATGTGCTGAAATTGATTTCTCAGCAGTTCTGCTCTAGGAAATGTCCCAGTTGTGAGCGGGACTTTTAGGGGAATCCCAAGTTTTGTAGAAATTCAGAAAAAAAAACATTGAAATCTATCCAAATTTGATCATCAATTTGAAATACCCTCAAAAATGGACTGAGATTTCATCAAAAGATAAACGTTTGGGAAGGTGGCACCTAGAACTCTTGAGCATGAATAGTCTTTGTTTCTCCCAGGATTCAACTTTAATCTACCTGGTCAAGTTTAACATGTTTATTGGGTTATAAGATAAAATAAGATACAAAATAGAAAAGTGAATAGGAAAGCAGTGAGGAGGAAGAGGAGAAAGAGAAGTAAGGAAGGATAAGAAAAAAAAAACATTGACTTCCGACTCACTCTGTTGCAGTAAAATAAGGTATTTGCTGCAGTGGCGCAGTGGTTAGAGTGCAGTACTGCAGGCTACTTCCGCTGACTGTCAGCTGCCTGTAAGTTGGCAGTTCGAATCTCATCAGGCTCAAAGTTGACTCGGCCTTCCATCCTTCTGAGGTGAGGACCCAGATTGTTAGGGACAAAGATGCTGATTCTTTAAACCGCTTAGAGAGGGCTGTAAAACACTGTGAAGCGGTGTATAAGTCTAAGTGCTATTGCTATTAACACCAAATCACCACGGTTTTTTTTCATAATAATATGAACAAGCCAATTTTTTTTTGAATTTTTATTTTATACACATAAGCACATCAACAGAACACATAAACACATTAACAAAAATAACCACATAACTTAAAAACAACATNCAGGTCCATAGTAATTAATAATAGATTTCTTTCTTTCTTTCTTTCTTTCTTTCTTTCTTTCTTTCTTTCTTTCTTTCTTTCTTTCTTTCTTTCTTCAAATGAACCCATTGTCAGGCCTGCAGCCATGTTCCTTTTGAATCTTTGGCCAGCCACACTTCTTTCTACTATGCTGTTTCATTAGTGGGGAGCTGGGAAGGGGGATAGTAAGGAGTAGAATGTTATGTAGCCATAACATCATTCTTTCTAAAAAGCCAAGGTCATCTTTTGTCTCTGCACCTCTGCACCTGACCGGAACTGGATGGGTGGAAGCTGCCAGCGTGGCAGTGGGAGATTGGACGATGGGATGGACTTGTGGGTAGAGGGGTGCAAGATCTTGAACTTTAACTTTGGGGGTGGGGGGAAACGGAAGAAGCTTCAGATTCGGGTTCCCCCCCCCCCCAGATGTGCCAGCATGGCTCTCTTAATAAATTGGAACTTTAAGCAGTACGTTGCCTTGGACTCTAATTTAATTTTGGATGCTATCTGGAACGCTGACACCCGGCTTCATATGTAGGGTTTTGTTTTTTTTAACCAGGTCTGGTCAAAAGCATTGTGTGAACCCAACTGGTGAGTTTGGGGCAGGAGGTACGGGGAAGGCTGACCTTAAGGGGGTCTTGTGGGTTGCATGGATGGAAAAGGATGCAAATCCAGATTTCCAGCCACAGCGGAGTTGCCAGAAGGGGAAAAGAAAACACTTAAATCTCCTTGCAGGGTCTTTAACGAACCGTTGTTTAGAAAATGGGGGTTTTAAGGGCACTGCGTTAAGCACCATGATTTGCAACTTTCTGCAAGAATCGGTGTGGTTTAAGGTAAACAGGAAGAACAGGGGCAAAGGTGAATTACCTGGTTTTACCTGCCCTGCTTATAAAGCAATTAAATGGCCAGTTTAGTGTGTTTTCACCTGGATTGCAGCTGGCAGTTTGCAAGTCCAGGAAGTCCTCAACTTACGGCCATAATTGAGACCAAAACGTTAGTTTGCTAAGCAGGACAGCAGTTTAACTAACTTTTTGCCCCATTTCAGGACCTTTCTGAAGCGTCGTTAAGTGAATCACTGCAGTTGTTCGGTTAGTAATGAATCTGGCTCCCCCATTGACTTGGCTCGACCGACAGTTGCAAAGAGGATCGCGCGACCGTCATGAATACGAGTCAGTTGCCCAGCGTCTGAATTTCTATCACGTGACCGCGGGGATGCTGCAACGGTCGTAAGTGTGGAAAACACCCCTTTCCAGTGACTTTTTAACTTTACTGTTTAACTTAACTGTTTTACTTTTTAACTTAACTGTTCAGTCACTCAATGAATGGTCGTAAGTCGAGGACTATCTGTACTGGACAAACTTTCCTGAATCAGAACTTTCCAGTGGAGGAAAAAAAAATGAAGCAAAGGCAGGTTTAAGTCTCAAAACTTTAATCAAGGTTTTCTCCAACTTGGCAAATTTATAGGATGGCTGGATTTCAACTCCCAGAATTCCCCCAGCCTGTATGTTGCCTGGGGAATTCTGGGAGCTGAAGTTCACACATATGACAGTGGCCATGTTTGAAAAATACCATTTCTATTTTCCTTTCTGTGGCTGCTTGGAAGCTGAAATGTTGCAGCCCAGGAAAAAAATAATACCATTAGTTAAAAACCTTAATTTTATGGACCTATTTGTCCATAAAAGCCAAATGTCCATTAAATCAGAAAGCAGATAATTAAGTAAATCTTTTCATAATTTACACAGAGATTTTTTTTAAATTTATATTCCAATTCTGTAGAAAATAATATTAAGGTTAAGGCTTTCCCAGTGGGAAGGGGTTAATGAATACTATGCATTATTCGCGGCATGCATTATCACTTAACAGTGCAATATTATAAATTCAGGTAACCTCTTAAAATCAAGAGAACTCAGTGATATTGCTCACATCACGGATTGCGACGCAACAGGTAAATCACATTGCCTAAAACTTCACACTTACGCACACTATGCAATCGAACCAGAGTAACAGAGCAACAGAATTGGAAGGGACCTTGGAGGTCTTCTAGTCCAACCCCCCGCGAAAGCAGGAGATCCTAGGCCATTTCAGACAAGTGGCTGTCCAATCTCTTCTTTAAAAGCCTCCACGGATGGAGCACCCACAACTTCTGGAGGCAAGTCGTTCCACTGGTTAATTCTTCTGTCAGGAAATTCCTCCTCCGTTCCAAAGTTGCTTCTCGCCTTCCTTAGTTTCCATCCGTTGCTTCTTGTCCTGCCTTCAGGTGCTTTGGAGAATAGGTTGACCCCTCCCCACTCTTCTTTGGGGCAGCCCCTCAAATATTGGAAAATTGCTATCAATGTCTCCCCTAGATTAACCTGGCGTAGTAAACTTTAACGCTCCACCTTTAGCCACCAAAAAAACCCTATCAAGGTTAACGCTAATTCAATTTAGCAAGTTGTATGAACGAAGTGTTCATAGGTCTTCCCTTAACTGAGTTAAAACATGTTGTGTAAACTCAGTCAGAATGACTTAACACGATGGCTTGGTTCACCCCAACATGTTAACATTGTAGGAACACAAGCATGTTAGTCTATTTCAGCCAAAAATCAGCGTCCAGTGGCATTTGAATGCAGACATTTTATTATAAAAGGCCTCTGCTTTCAAGTGGTTGAATTCCCACAAAGGACGATTGTTACTGCTCTATATTACTAAATCAGCACAACTGCTATTTTTATTCTGCTCCATCTTTCCAAAGCAAAACCCTTCCAAAATGTCTCAAAGGGACATGAATAAAGGGGAAATTATCCATAATTGCAGAGGAAAACATTCCAATATTCAGGAACAAGGTGTTAAAATATTCATGACTGGGAGAGACATGGGAACAAGGTCAGCCAATGAATAGGCAACAGCAACTAAGTCAGCCAATGGGAGCTTAAAGAGATCTGAGTCTGTGCAAGGAATTGAAACAGAAACCTAAGCAGTCTGCTGCTCTGTGAAGTAAACTAGCAGTCTGCCTGTTCTTGTTTGCTATGAAACTAACTGCTTGGGTTTGCCTGTATCTCTCCTGCCTCGTCTTTACTTGGAAGAACCACCTGTTGGTGTTGTACATTTATCCATCTATTCTTATGTAGCTAAGGAAGTTAATGAATCCTACTGCATCCGTTCTCTGTCTGTGCTTCTGGATTTGAAGTTATGCAACAAACTCTGACACAAGGAAGCGATAAGACCTCGGTGTCAGCTATTGCCGGCCCATTCTGGTTTCTTGTCCTGCCAAGCCACACTTTGACCCAGTTTCCATGCCGTGTGAACCCAGCCAATGTCTTAATTTACATTAAATTATATTTTCCCAAGAGATAATCTCTTCTTGTTGTATGGACAAGTGACCTTCTATAGTGTAACATGCAATCTTGGAAACTTAGACAAGTGCTTAAGAGCGTTCTGCTCTCTGTCCTTCTTTTTAAAAAGTCATTTAAATAGTGGTTTTTCGTACCAACATTGGTGGGAAAACACCTTTGCAGGATTTCGGAAGATTCTCGTTCCTCTTATCGGCATCTTGCCGAAAAGAAAATATTTGCAGGAAACGTTAGAAACGAGACCGCCTACGATGCCGCTGTGTGTTTGGTTTTCATGGCTACGTTATCTCGGCCCCGGAAGTTGCTATGGGGAATGGTACTCGTCCCCGACTCGGTACCGTTTTTCGCTGCGGTCTGGGGGCAAGCAAACTTGACAAACTTTTGCCCGGCCAAAAAGTACAGGATGGGGTCCAGGCAGCTGTTGGTGCTGGCCAGAGGGCGGGTGAGTTTGTAGGCCATGTTGATGGCGTCCAACGTGGGGCAGCTGAGGTCCCAGCTGCGGAAGGAGTAGTACAGAGTACGGGTGATGTGGAAGGGCAGGAAACAAATGATGAAGACCAGCATGACGATGAGGATCATCTTCACGGACTTCTTCTTGGAGCTCGACATGCGGGAGATGCCCCGCGTGGGCTGGAGGAGCTTCCGCGCCATCATGCAGTAGCAGATGATGAGGAGAAGGAAAGGGATGCAGAAGAGGAGGGCCAACATCACCGAACTGTAGATGAGGAATTGGTCGAAGAGCTCCTTGGAGGAGGTGTCGTGGCAGGTGATGCTGTCGCCCCTCTGGCTGGTGGTGACGAAGAAGAGGACCGGCGACTGGCAGGCGATCACCACCAACCAGACGATGGCGGACACCCACCGGGCGTAGCGGACCTGGCCCCACTCCAGGGACCTCAGCGGGAGGCAGACGCCCATGAAACGGTGGCCGCTGATACAGAGGAGGAAGAGGATGCTGCAGTAAAGGTTGGTGTAGAAGAGGAAGCGGACGATCTTGCACAAGGCCACGCTGAAGGGCCAGTTGTCCTCCATGGCGTAGTAGTAGACCAGCAACGGCAAAGAGACGACGTAGAGCAGGTCGGACACCGCCAGGTTGAACATGTAGGTGGTGGAGGTGTTCCAGGTCTTGATGCGGAAGAGGAAGACGTAGAGGGCCAGCAGGTTGAGGGTCAGGCCCACCACGAAGACGATGCTGTAGGAGACGGGCAGGAGGATGTACTTGAAGTCCTCGTTGAACTTGCACTTGTAAGGGTGCTCCTCCTCACCACAGCCGGCCTCCGAGGAGGAGTTGAGGCAGGAGTTCACGGAGGTCATCAGGAAGGTGACGTTCTCCATCGCCCTTGGGAGGAAAGCAGAGGGAGGGAAGAAGGTTGGCAAGGGAATAGCGTGGCATTCACACAGGATGCTTCCCTGGCTTTGGGGAGAGAATGAGGGAAGGAGGAAGGGAGGGAGGGATAGATAGATAGATAGACAGATAGATGATAGATAGATAGATGATGGATGGATGGATAGATAGATAGATGATGGATGGATAGATAGAGGATNCTATCTATCTATCTATCTATCTATCTATCTATCTATCTATCTATCTTCTATATCAATCTATCAACAATCAATCTACATCTATCTATCTATCCCTTTTTTCCCCCACCTCTGTCTTAGAGTGAAAAATTAGATCTGTTTCATTTCCTTCCTCTGATCGGTAGAAGAGCAAATCAATTCTAATTAAGGAGATGGCCTACCTAGAACTAAGAAGAAATTCCCTGACAGAACAATTAATCAGCAGAATGACTTTCCTTCAGAACTTGTGGGTGCTCCAACACTGGAGATTTTTAAGAAGAAATTGGACAGGTACTTGTCTGAAATGGTGTAGGACAGGGGTCGGCAACCTTAAACACTCAAAGAGCCACTCAGGTCCTAACTGGAAGCCCCCCGTTCAATGCTGGAGCCAATCGGAAGTCCTGTTCCCTCACCATAGGGTCTCCTCCTAGCGTGGCGGCCTTTTTTTCCCTACCTATCCTAACCGAAAGCCCTATCAATTGTGGAGCTGACTGGAAAACCTGCCATAGAGTTTCCTCCTGGCGTGCCATGCCCCCCCCCCTGCAAACCAGAAGCGCCTCTCAAAATTGTGACAGGGAGCCGCATCAGAGGGATGAAAGAGCCACATGCGGCTCCAGAGCCGCAGATTGCCAACCCCTGATGTAGGATCTCCTGCTTGAGCAGGGATCTGGACTAGAAGACCTCCAAGGTCCCTTCCAATTCTGTTGTTCTGTTAAATATCTTGTAATGTTCTCTTTCATTCCTTCAGTTGCCAACTTTTGTTGGGTTTTAACAGCAGCATCCTAAGAAGCCTCTCAAAGTCTGTTTTTCTTTCCGGACAGGGTTAATGCTACTCGCGTTGGGAGTGTGAAAACACCACTCACTCCTCTCCCAGTAGCATTTACTCTTACTGAAACTAGCCACTACAATACCCAGCACTCTGAGCAGGGATCGTTTGGAGAAGCCGCATTCAGTAAGTATAAAATGCAGGTAGTCCTTGACTTCCGACAGTACATTTAGTGCAGTGGTGGGTTTCAAAAATTGTTGGAACCTACTCTGTGGGTGTGGCNTCTTTCTTTCTTTCTTTCTTTCTTTCTTTCTTTCTTTCTTTCTTTCTCCTTCTCCCTCTTCTATCTATCCATAACTTTTTCCCTCCCACCCCACTCTCTCTCATCTACTATCCAAAGCTACTTTCTCCCAGCAAACAGCTGTGAAGGCACTGGAGAGCCGTAACCTTGGCTCTCCTCCACAGGCCTAGCCTTGTGTTGCTGTGTCTGTTTAGTGTCTGGGAGATTAAATAAGAGGTTTTTTTTCTCTTGCAACATCAAATCGTCTGAAGAGGTTGAGCAGGTCAAGGGCTGGGCTGGAGCCACCCTCAAAGTAAGGAGGGATTTTTGGGACCAGGGCAGTTACAAAGCCAAGGACCAGCTTGCCTTGAGGAGTCGAGGAAGAACGACAGGGGTTGGACTAGAGGACCTCTAGGAACCCTTCCAACTTTAGGATTCAGTTCTGTCCCTGCATCTAACGTGGTTTAACCCCTTTGCTGTCCCTGACCTTGCATATTTAGACCCACAAAACCTGAAAGTTTTGCTTATTTTAACAGCATTTCCCCCCTTAAAATGAGATCCTTTCCAAACTCCACAGAATCTGCATTCACACAACTAGCAAGAAATAGAAGCTGCATTCACACATGTGAGCCCTCATTCATGGGAACTTGGTTTATTTTTTTATTTTTTTTGCAACTTAGCGGGTTAGGCCAACCTAGTTTCCTTAGTTTCATTTCAGTACATTGCGCAAATCCAGCTAATTCCCTACCTAGGTTGTCCTTGTTTATCAAACCACAATTGGGGCTGGCAACTTGGTCATTAAGCGAAGAGTTCGCTAAGTGAAACAGTGACTGCGCTGCCTATCTTACTTCAGCTTTTCTCCACTTTACAAAGGTCATACATGTGAAGATTTGTCATAAAGTTATTTTTTTAATCACCATTGGGACTTCAAGCAGTCGCTAAGTGAGGCAGTTGTTATACAAGGACACCCTGTAACTTCATATATCTTGTGAAAATAGTTAAAACGCTATTCAAGTGCTATTTCATTTAGTTCCTCCCTGAAGTTCCTGCAAAAATAGGGAAAAAATTACTCAGAATTGTCCTTGGTTTCTGTTCTTGGATGTTATCATGTGTTTTACTATTTTTATGTAAGATATCCAGAGAGTAAGGAGTATAAAGCAATAGCAATAGCAGTTANAAGGAAGGAAGGAAGGAAGGAAGGAAGGAAGGAAGGAAGGAAGGAAGGAAGGAAGGAAAGAAAGAAAGATAGCAGGAAACCTTACACCACTTCAGATAAGTGGTCATCCAAATGTTATATGTGCCGTATTTTGTTTTTAAAAAAGCATAAATAGGCTGAATTTAAATGCTCCACCAGGAATCTGGTCAAAAGTGGATCCCTAGAATCTGTTCCAGATCTCCCTGGATCTGGAAAGCTCACTTGGACAGTTCCAGCCAAACGACACCTTTGACCTCTATTTTCCTGAATAGCCACCAGAAGCTGTGGGATAATCACAGCCCTGATTCAGGGACCCTGCAGGATGTGGTTGTTCTTTGGCTCCAAAAGTAAAAATCAGAGTTAAATTTGTTGTTTTTTTCTGGATCTGGAGAAACTCAACTGTTTCTGTGGGGTTTTTTTCCCCTCCTCCCAAAAATAAGAAACAAAAGGAGCTTTGTAGTTGAGAATTAGGACTGTTTCTGCCCAGAAAGGAGGCTGATGAACATCAACTGTGGTGGTTATCCAAGAAACTTAACCCGGTTCCCGAAAAAATAAAAGGACCGGCAAAATAACAATGATTAATAATGAGACATCTGGATTCAGGCAGGACAACGAAACACAAATAAACCTCCAGGGGTTCGTTTTCCCCCACAGGCTCAGCCACAGCCGAGCTCTCCGGGGATAAACTCAGCTAATGACATTTGGTAATGCAGCAACATGGCTTGTGGCAACCATGGTTAAGCATGGCTCTGGGTGGGTGGAGCCAAAAAGTCACTGGTTGTTTCCTTTGAATGTAAAGGTGGGCAGCTATGACAACTTGTGGACTTCAACTCCCAGAATTCCATCGCCAGCCATGCTATACCTATCGTCTACCTGCATGCCTGCCTGTCTCCATCCATCCATCCATCCATCCATCCATCCATCCATCAATCAATCCATGTATCATCTCTTTCCATTTCTGTCTGGCTAGCTCTTATATCTATCCATCTATCNCAGAAGGCAGGACAAGAAGCAATGGATGGAAACTAATCAAGGAGAGAAGCAACTTGGAATTAAGGAAAATCTTCCTGACCACGAGGACAGTGGAACAACTTGCCACCAGAAGTTGTAAATGCTCCAACACTGGAGGTTTTTAAGGACAACCATTTGTCTGAAACGGTATAGGGTTTTCTGCTTGAGCAGTGGGTCAGGCTAGAAGACCTCCAAGGTCCCTTCCAGCTCTATTCGGATTGATTTGACATGAGCCAGTTGCCAAGCGCCCGGATTTAATCATGTGAACCCAGGGATGCTGCAGGAGATATGAGTGTGAAAAACCAACCCACTTTTTCAATGCACTCCCTCGTTAGTATTAATAAGGACCAAATGTTAAAAGTCTCCCTGATAAAGTTTCTATTCCGACCAGAATCCCAGGCAGAGGAAGGAGATTAAATCAGGGAGGAAACCCCAAAGACACACACACACAAACACAAACACACTCCTATTTCTTTCTTTGAGGTTTCCTTTTTCTTTTTTTTATTTGCATGCTGTTTGAATTGTAAAGGTGCTTCCCCAAATTTGGACAATTTGGATAATTTGTGGATTGTCAAGTGCGGTTTTTCCCCTTCTTCTTCATTTCTTTTGAAGATCCAGACAGGGAATAAAATTGGCGTCTTTTTCTCCAATTCCCATAAGCGTCCGACGGGTGGGGCCTTTCACGTGACAATTTTTGGAGAAGAATCAGCGCGCATGATGTCATCCGTGGTTAAGTAACACTACCCATCTCGTGAAAACAGGCCCCAACAACGGAGTTATCAACAGGTTTGGTTTTTTTTTATCTTTGTTAGCAAAATAAACATATTCAGCGGATTCAAATGCTTTGCAAGAAGAGACTCGCTTTCCGGACAAAGGCGCCGTTTGTTCTTTTAAATGACGTCGATGGGTGAAAAGGAAGAGGGAAAGGGTGTGAATTAAGTTCCAAAAGACAGATTCCTTTGGCCCCCAAAAAATATTAAGCAAAAATCAAGAACAACCTCTAACCGACAGGACAGAAAAAAACCAAAATTCACATTAGAAAGATTGACTTCACGGAAAGAACAATGGAGGCTTGGAACCAGCTTGCAACTTAGTGGGTCAATCATCAGCAAATGAATTTTAAACATGCTTGGAATAGTCACCTGTCCATCCTTCGACAAAAATTAAAAACTAAATCTATATATATATAAAAGCCAAATACCACTCACGGATCATCACAAAGTCTCCCGAACCATAAAGCCTACAAACCTGAAATTTGGCATGTATGTTTCTCTTGGCTTCTAGGTCCTCGCTAAGAAAGGATTTTTTCGAAATGACCATCAGATCATTAGTATTTCTTATATTATTGTTAACACGCTCTGAGGCCAAGGAGTTAGATGTTCTACTCCCCCTCCCCACCTGAAGAGAACTCGGTTCCAACTGCCACTTGGTCATGGGCAGTGCGTGACTCATCCAGCCTGCAGGCTGGGAGTTTAGACATTCTACTCCCCCTCCCCACCTGAAAAATGCTCTGATGCTAGGGGGTTAGACTGAGGGAGAGAAGGGGAGAGGAGAGTCCTATCGTAACTACTCATTATTTTTCAAGCTGTAAGTATCGGT